TAAACAAAATATTTTAATAATGTGAATAAATTAAACAATAATTATCAAAATATTTCCGTAAATTATTATTTACCATGGAGTAAATAACGGTCCAACTTGACCAATTGCATTCCAATCTAATGTAAAATTCAAAATTCCTACACCATGATAACCGCTTCCTAACCTATTTATTAACCTATCGTATGGAGCTATCAAACATAATAAAGCCATACTTGTCAACCAAGTAAACATGTACTGCGGCACAAATTGCCAAACGAACATAAAGGAGAACGCAACAGAAAAAAATCGAATTCTATCACGCGTTTCGGACACATTGCCGTGAAGTGTATTGAACATGGACGCGAATACAAGGTTAGACGGCCAAATCATGTTTGCTGGGCGAACTAGGTCTGTGCATTGTCAAATATATATATATATATATATATATATATACAAAGTTAAACGTCTTTCTATATTTTACAATCGCGATTCCATTAAACTTAAATAAGCCTCACATTTTCTAAGAAATCCTGCGAGTCCATATCCCAAAATTTGAGTACTCATAAGCAAAAGGAAACCTGTAACAAAATTGATGGTCTGATGATAGAAAAGTTCTTGTATGGCAATGATGTCCTATTACATAACAATTGGTTAATGTGATGTTCCATATACAGTATATATATATATATAATATCGAACGTACAGTAGCATAAGCTGATACACCTCCAGTACTTGCAGCTACTGTTATACAAACGTGTTCTTTGACATTGAACGGACCTGTTGTTGGACAAGAAAATACCAATTGAATAAATTTGTTATATAAACATTTCTTCAATCGATTCATTAATTACCTGGATTAAAACTAAATTCCCATCGCCAAATTCGAAATTTTCTCGTCGGGAGTACTATTGCCATCCATTTTCCAATAAAATTAGATACAAGTACCACAAAAAAGATGGAAAAATATCCAATATTCGGACGGAAATAGTAGAATTGGGATATTGCTGCGCCAAGCGATGTGAAAAACTAAAACAGAATCATTAGAATAAGTTGTCAAGATAAATGAAATCATGAAAAAAGAGACTCACCGTACTCATAACCCAAAATCTAAATGTCAAACATGGTAAATTTGGATCATCTTTTGTAATAACGGCCTAAATGAAGAAAAGTCGATGAATCAATAAATTTAAGAACGCTTTTCAAAAAGATAATAATAAAATAATAATAATTACCGCAGTAACTATTGGTTCTTCAACAATCGAATCTTTACTTATATTTGTTTTCTCAGAATCGATATATTTAAGTGAAGATTTTGGTTTTTCGGGTATTACTGCCACCATTATTTTTGTCTAGAAAGTTAGTTATATGGAAATCATTTATCTTGAAGCATTCCGTGAAATTATAAATGAAAATAAGAATTAATTAAAATTTTTTTTTTTTCACAAACATACTTATTATTATTCACATACAACGGCTATTGACTATAACAGCTATAACAGTGGATTAAGATTTCAAAAAAAAAAATCGGTAAAATTTATATTTGGAATGAAATGATAAAACCTCTTTGTATTCTTGTTTGGATCGAAAAGCCACGATCCAATTAATACTGCGCCCAGTTAATAGAACTAATTGAATTTTTTTTTTTTAGGATTTCCATAAAAAAAAAACCAAGATGATATTAATTACGATTGATCGAATTTTATTATACCTATCGAAAGGCACAATTATTTAGCGTTTGATAGGCAATTAATTTTGTAAAATAAGCTTTTACTTTGATTTAATCTTCTTTATATAAATTTTATGGAATACAGCGCCAGTCAGCTCTATCGTGAGAATACCAGAAGGATGGTAAGCATGCTATGCACCACTTTCGCATGACATCATGCTATCCATAAAAATCAAAAAAATCGTCCCTTCCTTCAAGGTATGGTGACTCTAGAAGGGTTGGATCGGTCCGGTCCAAAAAGACTGGTCTTTCATCTTTTCTTTGGACCGGATCGTCCATGAGTCAGTCCTTAGACCGGTACTAAGACCGGTCTTGAGTCGGTCCTGGTCCTAATTTATTCCATTTTTATTCTGGACCGATTCATAAACCGGTCCTTGTGTCGTTTTTTTATAACTTATGGTATATATTATTAACATTTACTGAATGATAACTTCCGAAATGGTTAACGAAGAAGGCGCAGTAATCGCTTTGTTAATATTTTTTTTTGAAATTTTCTAACACAATATGCACAGTTATAGTTCATTATCAAATATGTTCTAAACCTGTCCGGACCGGTCTTTAGAATATGGACCGGAACGGTCTCATTCCGATCTGATACAGGTCCTAAAAGGAACTAGACTTTAGCTTCTTTGCTGCTGCAACTGCGGTGGTTGAAATGCATGGTATACGATTGAGTAAAG